AGTGTCATATGACACCTATGTACTAAGTTTTATTGAAATGTTATGATTAGTACTTGAGATATCAGTGGAAAAGCCAAAAATTGATTAATCATTACGTAAATTAGGTAATTAATAATATTAACAGATTTTTACCCAAAACTAATCAAATCTGTGCATTAGTTCAGAGCATCCATGTGCCAAGTTTCATTGAAATCCAATGAGTGGTTCTTTAGATATCAGTGGAACAGTCTTGGAACAGCTAAAAATCAGCTAAGTATCATGCAAATTAGGCAATTAATATTCATAGATTTTTACCAAAACCTAATCAACTCTGCGCATTATCCCAGAGCATCTATGTACCAAATTTCACCAAAATTTGATTAGTGGTTCTTGAGATAACGGTGGAACAAAAAAAGTGACATACATACATACATACATACATACATACATACATACATACATACATACATACATACATACATACATACATACATACATACATACAGACATACAGACAGGGTAACTGCAAAGACCCCCTTTTGTGCTTCGCACACGGGAGTCAAAAATACACCTACATGTACAAGTACAACATGCATAACATTTATTGTTCAGGATTGTCTTATAGTTGAGTTAGTGTCGTTTTCTAGACTTCAGCTGTTTTAACTGGATCTTTGACCAGTGTCCATTAAGAGTCATCATCAAAATTTAGATAAAAAGACCTAAATGCATAGAGTAAAATTGGTGTTCATTACAAACAATGGCAGATCTGTCACATCAAATTTTGATTTATTAAGATTTATTAAGAATACTCTTGCAAGAAATTGGGTGGACTTGAGATCGTAAGATGTTGACAATTCAATCACAATTAAATCTGAGAAAAAGCTTCTAACCAGCATATCTTGCAAATACTATAATTGATGGCTGTGGGAAATGACACTTACCAGGTACTAGCCCATATATAGGATATAAATTGTTTAACACTGGAAAAAATACTGCCACTTAATTTAAGAGGAAATGAAAAAAACTAAATACAGTACATGTAATGAGTATCAAAAGATCATGTTTAATTTAAATAACTTTGTTTGATATTGCATCTTGATAAAAATAATTTTTTTGCTGATACAACTACATAGCACTATCTTTTAAATACTTGTTCATATTGGCAAAACTGCAATGTCTGTGTATTATAGATTTTTACTATTTCTATGTTTTCTGTCAAAACAAATGTTTTATTTTTGTTGTCGAAAAATCACATTCAAATATTTTTATTAGAATGCAATATCGAAAACACAAAAAAAAAACTTGCAGTTATTTACATAGCTTTTTTAACTGAATACTTTTTTACCTCCAATAATTATAATAAATCCAGTATTTGCCTTGTTAGTCGAGAACCGACGATTTACCAGATAACTATGCAATGCAATGTATGCAATGTTGATATCTATGTGGAAGTATGTGATAGAGATATCATCTCGTGAGTTTTATGCACACACCAATTACATTTATTTGAATCAACATGGTATAAGCTTTGTGAAAAAGTAAAGACACTATCAGAGACAGCCTGAATGAACACTAACCAGTTTTTTCATAGAATTCCTCATTTGCATTATTATTTCTAGAAATGAACATTTGTCTTGCAGTTTTTTATTATTTTGAAATTCACAATAAAAACTTGTGAGATCTTAATCAAATCACACCACTTGTATTCTAGTAATTTTCAAAATATTGATGGTTAACGAAAAGATTCTGTATTAATTGTTGCAAACATCTAATTGTAATCGATTTTTCACACAGATACATTGTACAATAAAATTCATTATATTATTGTAAAATACTTGGTAGTGCATATGAAACAAAAATTGTATTTATCATTTAATGAACGTTAAATTATATTAAGTTTGGCCATATACTCTACAGGGTTTGATCACATGTACCTCTCTGTATTTATGAATGGATGAACAATACATTAACCTTCAGATCACACCACTCGGTCAAAGGTCAAATGTACATGTACATGGGGCAAGCAGGGTGTCAGAACGCACAGGACTGCAGATTATTTTCACAGTGTTTTTTTTTTTAATTTCATTTAAAACACATTATATACCAAGATCAGAAAGTTCCAAACAGTTCAAACTATAGTTTTTACACGTGATACTGACAAATGATTAATTTTAAACTGATATTCGGACTTTCCCCGGGTCCGGGACATTAACTTACCTTTGCTTGGGAATTCGTGTTTCGTCCTGGTTCTCCGAGGCACACGCAGACATCCGCAGTGAAGCATTGCTGTCCCGTGAGTCCTGGCTGTGTGGACTGCTTACATTTTCCGATTTCCTTGCATTAAGGTGTCGCACGATTGTTCCCAAACGCTCCTTCATGCTGCTGGACGACATGTTGAATGTATATTGTTTGGTGTTTCGTTACTCCACATAATACTATTCGAACTTTGGACAGGATAACAGCAGTACTGTTAAAATTTCAAGTTTGTTGGCACGAAAATCGTGTGTCTTTGCGAGTCTATGAGGTGAGTATTGACACTAATCCATGGAAACAAACAGATGCAGTGTACAGTTTTATGAATCTCTGTGTAATCCACTGTTTAGTACGAACGTATTCTAACAGGCAAATCTACATCGAGAGTCTCTCCAGTGTACCATCCCAGGGGGTGCTGGACATCTCGACCCAAAAAAATCTCGACCCATTTTTTATTGGACAACTCGACCCAGGACCCCTAGACATCTCGATCCACCTATTTCAGACGACCCGCCGCCTTGACGCAATATTCATCACTGTAAAAGTGGATAAATTCGAACCAGCCAGCTCATGACCGGAGACGTCCAGTCGTCTTCGTTGATAACTCGCCAATTCACCACAATCGTGGTGGTAAACTGTTTAGCTGATTTTTCAAAAGATGGATATTCAATTCATATTCATCCCAACTTATTTGAATATTCTTTCTGAAATTTGAGACATTGTTAAAAAAAATCCTGTACAGGGATATGTCTGATGTTAACTAATAATACGCAATTACCCAGGCAATACTAGAAATTTTTGCTGATACTAATTATGTTTTTTAGTTGGAAGTTGGATACTTGAACGTGTAGTTCCCGGATGTGTAGTAGACGAGCATAATCGTACTGTGTCACATGTTTTTCGTCTTAGCCTTGTCTTTTCGTCTTAACCGTCGCAGTCTGCTTCATTGAATGTTTAGTTTAATAATTGATAAACATACATTCAGTGTGAGACTGTTGGGCAGAGCTCCAGAAGGAGTACCTACACTTTATGCAAATTTTTTAAAATCATGCTAATTTATTCATGAAGTAGCAGTTTCTGTGCTCATGAATATTCATTAATTTGTGGGTCAATACATTTTAAAAGGGGCGATATATTATTTTTGGGGGAAGAGTTAGAAAGGGGGATTAGCAATCCTTAGGGGGTCAATACAAAAAGAAGGGACCCATTTGGAGAGCAGCCACGCTCCTTGTGTCTGTAGTTGCACGTGACCTACAGCTGTCAACTGTGTTCGTTCTTCGACTGTGTTCGTTCTTCGACAACGACTTCGAATGGCTTCCATGTGGGGTAGTATTTTTGTGTTCTGTTTTCCTGACTTGAGTTTTTAAATCCGCTGTTTATGATTTTAACGTCTTTCATGTCTTTTGTAGGAGTGTCCAATCCGTGATTCGAACTTGCGATCTTTGAGTTCCCAGCGCACTGTCTTGTCCACTGTACCACGAGTGTCTTCACACAGGAGTTAGGATTTAAGTCCTATTCATAGGAGCACTGTCTTCACTAGCATTCAAAAATCTAACTAAACATACTGGATTCGAACCAGCAATCGCTCACATTGCAGACATAGTACAAA